TTAATATGAGTGGAACTACGTAAGTCAGTGAAGCAGATGTCATTAAATAATTAAAGTGTACAAGTGCAGTACGGGAGTACTACAGAAGGCAATCTCTGATGGATCCACGGTTATCGTTTGTATCGCACGCGCCCCGTGTGTCGCGTGAGAGTTCGGCCCGTTTCCCGAGTTATTACGACGTTCGTCGTTTTGTTTTTTGTAACATACCGCGATTGTATGCCCCGTCTTATTACAATACGTGCAGGTGTCGCGTGAATTTTGATTAGTGTTACCGCTTGGCGGTCGCGTATACGTTTGATTATTCAACCTACATTGTGACGAAAAATGTCCTTCGCGATTACACGTAAAACATCGCCTAACATTAAAATTATTGTTCCTAGAATTTTGTACTTGATTATTATTCCTACCTCGGAAACTGTTATTGTTACGATACGATGTATTTTGATTATTATTTTGACCGCGGTTACTGTTATAATTATTGTTATATTTATTTGATTGCTTATTGTATTCATTATGGGTTGCTCTAAAAATATCTTGTACATTATTATATGTTCGTATGTTTTTATCGGCTACTAATGCTACTTGCATTGCTTGGTCAAGAGAATTTGGATTTTTAGTTTTCACCTCAAATTTTATTTCGTTGGGTAACCCGTTAATGTAACTAACCATAGCTTGCTCTTTAATATTCTCACGTAATACTATTGCTTCGGACGACGGTTTACCTACGGCTACTGCGTCGCATAATTTTTGGAATATTTCTTCTACGCGGTTATTATATGCTTGAATCGTCTCATCGTTTTTAAATTTTATTATGTTAAGTTCAATTTGTAAGTTCGCGGCACCATAAGGTGATTCGAATGCGTCTAATAATAATTTTTTAATGTCGTTCCATTCTTTAATTTCTTTATATCTAGTAACATTGAAAGCTCTACCAGTTAATTTAGTCGCGGTTATCATTTTTAATAGTAACGGTAATTGGTCGGGATCTACTGAATCAATTATAGTTTCACATGCGTTTATGAACGGATACATTTCGGTTTGTCCTGAATATTGGGGAATCATATGTAAAGCGTCAATGACTTTTAATGTGGGGACTTTAGATGTTGCCATTTTCTTAGTTTTTACTGTTCGCTTAGCTGGTATATACTCGGTATGAATAATATTTTTATTACTCCTTAATCTTACATGTACTTTTAGTAGGGTTATTTTCAAATTCGTCTAAATTAATTAATCTTAAACTTTTATTTAATATATCGTCTACTGGTTTATTAATTTTATTTAATTCTAATTTATCCTCTTCGATTAACCTATTTATTTCTTCGTCATTAATTAATTCACTATTACTATCACCTAAATTAATATCTAATATATTATCGTTTTCTAAAATATCAATTATCTTATCTAACGTTTCTTTAGCGAGTACCTCAAACTCGTCAACAATAACTTCGGCGTTCTCTCCCTGGGAACCCGTATTCATTAATTTAAATATTTATTTCTCATCAAAATAAAATCTCAATATACTCTTCAAAAAATATATAATCTTCAAAATTCTCAACACAAAAATACTTTTCACTTCAGTATAATTCAAAATTCTCAATAAAACACAAAAATACTCTTTAATTCAGTATAATTCAAAATTATCAATAAAACACAAAAATACTCTTTAATTCAGTATAATTCTCAATAAGACACAAAATTCTCTTTACTTCAATAAATCACAATATAATAATCCCAAAATAATCTCAATATAATTCACAAAATAATCTCATAATCTCAATATAATCTCAAAAAAACTCTCAATATAACTTTTTATTTAACTCCCAAAATAATAAAAAAAAAAATGAAATAATAAAAAAATAATAAAAAAAAATAAAATAATAAAATAAAAATGGAAAAAAGACCTTCCTAATTACGATGGACAAAATGACCAAAGGAGACGGTTATATAATTTATGCTTACAAAATCGCTGTATTCATTCCGTAGCTTGATTTTCTCGCCGTTGTTTTGAACTGCAACAATGTGTTCGATTTCCCCAGAGTTGTTGAAAAGACGTCTCGATCCAACGATGGTTCACGTGAGTGAAGTTGCCTCTGTTGATAGAAGTTGACGGTACCAAAATATGTTTAGAAATATTTTTAAGTTGTCTTCTTCTTGGAAATCAATCCTACCGACTGCTCCAATTTTTCTGTTGCGTCCCTTATGTCAACGTCGATTCATATATCAACGTAGAAATAGAAATACTAATGCTTGCAAGTTAAAAGATTAAGTCTTTATTTAATACAATTAACTCGTACAAGAATACAATTTTATAAGCACAAGATGGTGTGAGTGGTGTTACGACCTGCCTCTGAAATACTGATAGACGAGACCGTGAGTGGTGTTACGACCTGCCTCTGAGCGTCTCGAATATCCCTAACCGTCTGCTGAGCTCTTGCCCTGGTCTCCCTTATATATGGTTAACCGTCAAGAGTGGTGACTGGGGAGGTGGTGACTTCCGATGACCTAAAGG